TTATCTTTTCATTACACAATAATCATGTTATCATTATTTATCTTAAGGATTCTCTCACTCGTGAATTAAAGTCAGCTCCTCCTAATAGTCTCACAATGCATCTAGCCAAAGCTTTCTGTAACATTCATAATGATTATGGTATGTATAAACTTACTGTGACATACATGTACATGTACACAATGTAAAATTCAATATTCATGTATACATTGTAGCAGGAAATTTTCGTTGCCAGAAACTTTCGTTGTCTTTTCAAACAGGCTTTACAAGATCTTTTCGTTGATTTTATTTTTGTTATACTTTTCACTGTCACACCTATTTAATTTGTGCCACATGTATGGTTTAAGATGGAAGAATGTCTATGGTTTGTAGTTACCACATTATAAAGACATTTAGAGCCCATCAGTCGGAGAAGAGCTGCCTTTCTTTGTCAAACCTGATAATGCCACCGATTGCTATGCTGTGGCTGTAGTGAAAAGAGGGTCTGTTGTGGGTCAAAATTTTAGTTCTAAGATTAAAATTTCATTGTCTTACAAATTGTTGGCCAATGGAACAAACAAAAATTAGCACCCAACAAAAATTTCCTGCTATACAGTATGTACATTCCACTACATATGTACACACACTATCAAAGGTCATATTGTATTGTGTGTCTCTAGGTCTTAAAGCAATGGCTCATATTTGGTATATGAAGTGATACAGGAACTGCACTACAGGTGGGAGAATGGTATAGCGTTACCAAGGTAACTATAATTAACTATCAGTTTACATTATGTACATGAACTGTCTCAGTTTAGGGAAGAGTCATCCTGACATGTCTTGTTGTCTCTTACATCAGAAACTACAGGTAAAGCATTGTATTATTCTTGTGTATCATTTTGTTTTTGCTTTGTTATTAGCTGAACATACAGTAGTATATAGCTTAAAATTAATTTATAAAAGATCTAGTTTTGATCGGAATAAGCTCAAACTTTCTTTACAATATAAGTTGTATATGTATCAGGAAAAATTATAGAAATGAAGATTTCTCTTCTTTTTATTTTTGATGAAATTTGGCCTAAAGGGGCTTTGCCCTGATTTTGGAGCAGCTTTAAAAATTTGTAAAAAGTCCAAGCTTCATTGAAATTAGCTCAAACGTTCTAAACAACATAAAAACATGTATATGCATCAGAAAAAAATTTAAATGGAGAATTTTCCTTTTCATTTTTGATGTAATACCCTGTTCTATAGTCCGTATGTGGTACATTTTCTCAATAGGTGCAGTGGCTAGTATCACTCCACATGATATGAATGCATCACGTGATATCTTAAATGACTCTGTACTTGACATCATGTTTTACGTTAGCACTTGGTTTGGACCTGAAGTTAGCAGCTTCATGTATGCTTCATGCTACATGTATTATGAATACCGTATGAACTACTTGTACATACACTAGCAATACTATATATATATACTAACAATGGTGTGTATTAAAAATGTATTTGTTATAGATTCTTAATGGTCCGCATTGGCAGCTGCACAAGAAATACGTACAACGAATTTACAAGACGTAATTTTGATTTTATTTCAAATAATGGAACAGTGTCAATGTTTGCTCATTTGCTTGGTAACTTGGTAACATAATGTGCTATGACCTGATGTATGAGACCTGTAGTATCAATGGACTACTGGAGAAAAAGGAAAGAGATTGTAAACCAATGGACATTGATTTATTAACAGGTAGGAAAGGGAGAGAGGGAGGGAGGAAGAAATGGGCATTTAGTTTAATTAGAAAAGAGAGGGAGAGGGAGGAAAAAGAGAGATTGAAGGACAGGGGATAGTTGCATGTATAATCAAATCTGGAGAGTTAAAATTACCAGCTTTTCTTTTCCCACCAGATCATTAAAAATGAGTCTGATAAAAAGTTGAAGAGCTGCAGAAGTTAAGAATAAGAGTTCCGAACTTGAATTAGAGCTAGTGATAAAGAAAGGGTTCAATTCTCTTAAAGATTAAACTGGATCACTTATTTGCTGTTGAGTCTCCATTGGGTATACTCTTAATGCTAAGGGAACACAGTCCACTAGTGAAGGAAAGCAAAGGAGCTGATTCACTGCTGCCTTTTGCTAAGAAATTCTTAATGTACATCATCCTTAAGATCCTGTGGTGAGTTTAGTATCAACTATATAATGTAGTGTCCATGTGGAGCCTGCTATTATGAGATGGGTTCACGGTACAGTATTTATTCTTATACTTGTACATGTACTTGTTGCCTGAGTTTGATGTTAAAATCAAAATTTGATATATTTTATATTTTTTAATTTTAACTCCAGGCCTATCGTTTGGAGTCCAGTATATGCTCAAGTGAAGCGGGTAAAGATGGACGCTGCTAGTAGCAAACCAACACAAAAGTCAATGAGTCTAAGCTGAAGGACCCAAGACACCAGAAGTGACACAGAATACTAAGAGTAGCAGCAACAGCTGGACGCAATCACTGATATCAGCTGTAGTAGCTTCTAGTAATAGTGCCAAAACTTTTAAATCATTTGAATAATTTTATTGTAGTGGATAATAGGATATTATTTTTCTACAGATATTTGATGACATCAAAATACTACCTGAAGAAGGTACAGTGCTTTGCAGGTTGCTTGACCCAATTTTCTTACTTCCTGCTCACATGACATGTATTACCCATTATTAGTATGGTGAAAGTCACGTGATTAAGGGTCAAGCAACCTGCAAAGCACTTTAAGCAGGCTGTGTTTGGTGCATTATGAGTTATGACTGTGCAGAAGTGCAAATGCACAGGAGAGCTTGGTGGGAAGCCCCTTAAATTAAACCTGAAGTGAAACAAAACCGGATGTAATGAAATTTCAACTGGAAGTGAATAAAAATTTTTAGACTTCCTTTACTTTAATTTGCACATATTTATAGCTGGTGTAATAACCAAAGTAATAATAATAGCTAATAAAAATGACAATGACACACAGACAAAACAAAAGCATTTATAAAAAGTAGCAAAATAAATTAAACTCCTAATAATAAAATATAATAATAATTTTAAGTGATGTCTTTGTTCTCTATTATAAAAAGTATCCCTTTTAGCATCTGCTGTCAGCTCCTCCCACAGTTTCTGGATTCTTCTCTTTAATGTCACCAAGTATAAGAGATATGTATGAGTTCAACAGATCATCCATTTTGTAACCCTAAAATCACATAAAATAATATTATAAAGCACAGTACTGCATCTACAGAGTCAACACAGGCAGGCTTGATCACATGCATTGCATGCATTGATCACATTTAATGCATCCATTGATCACATGTATTGCACTACATTTGCTGATTCTTACCAGAGATGTTTCACAGAGCAGTTTACTGCCTTTGATTGGGTTTCCTATAGTCATGTGGAAATAGTTAGACCCACAGCTCCAATTAGTGATCATAGTGAACGGATGAGTGGCCAGTATATCCTTTGATAATAAAAAATAAAATATTTATATCAATTATGTAATTTCAATTATTATTAGTACTTTATTTGCTGGGTCTATCAACATGACACCATTTTTATTAAGACCAATGAGTAAGATTTCAGGCAGATGAGGCTCTGTTGTTTGCTATGATGTAATACAAAAATATTTTGGGAAGTTTTTCTCTATCATTGCTTACCCTGACTTCAAAGAATGTGGATCCAAAAGTTTCCCACCTGTTCACGTACTTGAGGAAACTTATCTTTGCCTCTTCTGAAGATTTGGCATCATGACGACTGAAATTAGCAGCAATGGCCTAACAGAAAGAGAGGAAAAGGATGAGAATAAAGTGGCAGTGTTGTGCTATTATTTTAATCACTCTTTTCCAGTCCTCTGGATGGAATTCCCTTAGCATGTCATGGGGTATCAGCTCACGCAACATTTGACTATAAAATAAGATGATTGAACTCAAAACGTGACGTACATATATCTTACGGTATTTCTCCAAAGTGGGACCTAGTGTCCCCAAACTTAACACGATAAATATAAGAACCAAGAAGAGCTGCATCATCTCGAGTACACTTGTGATAACCTCTCAGATACTTAGGGAGCTCCTAAAGCAATGAAATGAACATAATCAAGTACACGTATCTTGGCACTGTAACTTTATAGACACTCTAGTCTATCTCTCTGCTTTCTCATGTAATACCTGGTGATAGTGAAATACCACATCTGACTTTCTGTCTTTGCCTATGGTTATGTTTACAAACAGTTTCTTCATAAAGAAAATTTTGTAACTGAGATTAGAATTAGCTGAGGGAAAAGATTAACAAAAAACAATCAAAGTGTTCTGTATGCCAACCATAAATACTTACCATCTTTGCTTTTAGCTCTCTTCAACCATTCGGTCAAATGACGCACGAAATCAAAAAAGAAGTCAGCCCCAGGTACACTGATAACCTTGTCTCCAATCTTTACGAATAAACTGAAACCTTCTTTGAACTTTAGACCAAGTCTCTCTACTATTGTTGCACATAAATCCCATGACCTTGTGCTTGAATCAATTTCAAAAACCTAAGGAATGTGCATAATGTCAGACCATGTACTGTATATCATCAAAAATGGCTAGGAGGAAATTCTCCATTTTATTGTTTTTTCTGATACATACATGTATACACGTTCTTATGTTGTGTATCAAGTTTGCTGATTCTGATCAAAATTGGATTTCTTATGAATTTTTAAAGTTAATCAAAAATTTGGCAGTAAGCCACAGTATTTCAAAGGTCAGTCTTCAAAAAAGTATTACTGTATTAAAGTTGCCGTGTGCATGTATGATTTATGGTGTATACCTCTCTAATGTATTTAGCACATGTAACTCTGCTGTGTGTGTGTGTGTCTGCCTGTGCATTTACCTCGCATGAGTCATCAGGGAAGAACACTTTATGGAATATTTGTGCTGTCTTGTTTTGAATTGCATCAACTTCAACCAAATGGGGTGGATATCGTCTAGCACCAGATCTATAAAAATAATAAGAATAATATCATTCCAATAAAAAAGGATGCTTTTGGAGCCAATTTTTGGGAAAAAAAAGAATAGACTATTCATATTCATATAAAACACTAACTGAGCGGATTTGTATAATCGTTGTTGAATTTCAGCGGCAATCGGCCATTGTTTGATACGTGACCTCAAGAACTGTATGACCTCTTTATGAAGAACTTGACTGCATGGGAACAGACCAGTGGCCAGCCAGAGGAGCTCCCAACCTCTCTCTTCACTAGCTCTATAATAATGATGATTATGACTTTTGATAAAATGAATAAATTCAATACCTTAATTTGTTGAACGTCAATTGTTTCAAAAGTTGACAGTAAACTTCATCCCTTAATACTTCCTGTAAGTAAATGTACATGCATGAGTATATACATGTATATATGTATAGGGAGAGAGAGTGTGTAATTTATTTTTATATTTTTTCTTACATGAGATAGAACATGCTCAAAAACTTGGTCAGTCAATTCTGTGCTAAGCCTTTGTTTCATGGAAGGATAATCTCCCATATACTTTAAGATAGGTGAGGACATGTTCAGGATAATACTATTATCAGCAATATTTTGTCAAAAGTATGTACATTTTCATCATCATCATTCTTTATCTTACTATTATCACTACTACTATTATCATCATTATTATTATGTATGGTAGGATATCAAGGAATGAAGCACAAGCCTTTTGATGAAGGTCCTCAGATTGCTTAAACTTCTTGAGCAATGCTTTCTTGATTGGCTCCGTCACATGGGCCCATATCTCTGTCTCTGCTAAATTCTTTCTCAGAGTGCCTTGAATGGGGCCGGAAAGAGTTTTAGACTTTGGCACTCTAAAGTACTTATACGAGTAATTTTCTAGAGTGTAAGGCACTCCAGTGTCCTGTTCATCATCTTCAAGAGCTAATTGTGTGGTTGCTATAATATGCTTCATGTCTTTGTCTTGAACATTTGTCAAATCTATTCAAATATCAACGATCAAATCATGTTACACATCATCAATAAAACCTTTAATATCTTGTACTTCAGTTACATGTACAAAAGATGTCATTAGTTGAGTAGTATGTACATGTATGTGTGCATTTACCTTGAGGTGATAAAGGTTGTGACAATAAATTACTAGCAACTGCTCCATCAGAAGGAGACGTGTCTATAAATTAAAATTAAAAACGATTCAATTATTTATCAATTGATTATCTATCGATTAATTTATAATTATTACCTTGTGGAACTACATCATGATCTTTAATAGTCTCAGGAACTACACTCACTTCAGGAGTAGGAAAATACTTACCTAAACACATAATAATAAACAGCAACAGTAATATACTCTCTACAATTTGATTTCTAATAGTAACTAACTCGCTCACGGAAACTATGAACTATGAATATAATTATAGTGGTCAGTGATTACTCACTAATATCATCAAGTATAGTCTGTCCTAGTGATACATTAGTACTGATTGTACACAATACATTAGCAAAGGTATGTAAACTGTTGGGATCAGTTTGAACAGCTTTTTTGACAGCAGTTAATAGAGCCTCACGTTGATTAGAAATAGAGGGACTAGCTGACACCACTCTACTAACTGCTTCTTGTGTTAACATACGTTCACCATAAAGTAACCGAGCAATACCAACAGAATCACAAAGTGACTGAGACAGGACAGTATGACGATTATTAAAAATATTAATGACAAGAACATGATGTTCTATGATAGAAAATACAATGATTATAGTTTCATACAATTATGGTTGACTCACTTAACTTCTCAGCTACAGCAGTTTCATTCATAGATTGTAGAGCAACTGACAGTGAGTCCAAGTTGGCTCCTCCTCTACTGTCAACATTATCAACTCTACGTAGCCAATGAGAGAGGCATTCAGTCAAGCAGTGGTACACATCACCACGATACTTCACTTCAATGGCATCCAGTGTAGTTTTCAGTAGTCCTAATCTCAGTCCCAGCTCTTGCCACTTTATTCCTTGAAAGCCACATCTCTTTAATAGGTCAATGACATCAATCAAATCACCA